CTGCCTCCCTCTTCCCTTGAGTGACTTCCTCGGAGCTCCCCTTTGGTACACCTCCCACGTCAGCCATCACAGCATATTCGGCACTATCTGAAAGCACCCATGTGCCAATCACGTCAGTCGACAGTCAACACGAAACTGAGGAAACGTATCTGCTCTCCTCGGGGCCCCTATACACCTCTTGACCATCAATTACTTCCAACAATAAACAGTGAAACTCTGGTCTAAAACATAAATGTTACAGGGGACACGGGATGAGCCACTATCCCGTATGTAGGGAGAACCGTGGTGTCATTTCCGGTGACTACGCACGGATTTTGTTCGGAAAATTCCAACACGAAGCTTTTCCAAATAGTTCACGGCGGTGTGGCTTCAGATGTTGATAGTTGGTCTGTGGAAGGTGGGAATAAGTGAAGCCGTCCGTCAAAATGCGCCATCTCCACACCGTAGATACGTGCAACGAACGAAATCGAAATCTTCGGATTCGCTTCCCGCTGTCACCACTGTAGGAACTGCCTACCTACCCTCATGCCCTCGATTAGTTGCAATAGAGTTATTAGGTACTTAATGCTGGAAGGACGGGGCTAGGAGTTTGATGAATCGAATAGCAGGTACCATCCGGAGGGGGATTCCTCACGATCCCCGCGCAACGGGTTCGCGTTCGAGTTGCAAATGCAGCCCAATGCAAACCCAGTCATCTTTGTGGTCTCATGTATAATACTTTGTCTCTGGAGCCACCTGATGTCTGACAGTTTTAAGACTCATGGGAGCCTTGTACGCGTGGACTGGTCTCCGGACCAAACTCAGGCTTAATTTCTGTTCTCTCTGAAAATACATTTATTCAGCTCTACACAAGACTTTCTTCCACCCTATGGAAAGTCTCAGGACGCTTCATTAAGGTCACAAATACCTTGTATTGCTTCAAATCAACCCTTTTTTGGAATGGAATCGTTAATCCTTATAGAGCTAACTCCACCATATTTTCTTCTCTACATCTACCCTGACATACATGTTTACTGTCCCAGCGTAAGTGATAGCGTTACAACCCTAAGTGGGATTGGAGTAATTGGCGGGTTAAAGCCGTCATTTGTTTCATTGCGGACTTCATGACAGTTGGAAAAGGTCATGAGATCGCCTTGTAGATGGTAACTCGTTCACTGAAAATAGTATATTGATGCCAATACACACATAATTCGAAAATATGATCAAAGCTTTCATAGTAGAAAAGAGAGTTAAGTGGGGAAGGAGTCAACGGGTACGAATTTGCGTTGTTGCAATGAAAGACATGATCAGCCTTATCTCCTAGGTTCCGCCCTAAAACGCTTCCACTCGATCGGGTTCTCCACCTGACAGATCGCCATCAAAGTCACCATCCTCTTTCGCATTCTCATAGGACCGGACAAAGTTCACGAAAACGGAGTCCAACGAGACCTGTCGAACTGCAAATGTGGTGATTTTACCCGCAGAGCGTAGATCCAGGAGTTGTCGGAATATCTTTGACAGGCGCACCTCTCCGTGTGCTTCAAAGTTGCACTTCTTACCGACAGCATCGGTGAGCGTGATAGAAGTGGGAGGTGGAAAAAGTCTCTGTGGATTTGGTTCATCAACTCTCAGATCAACTTCTAGAATGTAGCCCTCACCAAAGCGTTGTTTCAGATGGGGCACTGTACCGAAACACTGAAACTGACCATCCATCATGATGGCTAGACGATTGCACAGCGCTTCACATTCTTCCATACTGTGTGTAGTGAGTACCACAGAGCATCCGGCTTTTTGAAGAGACTTTATCACCTCCCACAGACATCGCTTCGCGCCCGGATCCATTCCAGATGTCGGTTCGTCAAGAAGAAGGACCTGTGGATTACCAACCGTTGCCACGGCGGTGGATAATTTGCGTAGATTTCCACCGGAATATGTGTGCACTGGTTTGTTGGCATGTGGACTTAGAGACATCCTATCAATCAGTCGATTAGCCAAGGTGGAGATCACCCTCTCCGGATAACCATGAATACGTGCAAACAGCTGCAATGTCTCAAAACCCGTTAGGTTCGAGAGAAGGGCGTCAAATTGTGGACAATAGCCAATCAAATCGTGTGAACTCAATCCTGACTTTTCTGTAATGTTGCAATCCCCAATCAAAATTGTTCCGCTTGTTGGATGGATGGTTGTAGTAAGCATGTTGAATGTGGTCGTTTTGCCTGCTCCATTTACACCCAACAATCCAAAGCATTCCCCTGGACGCACGCCAAAGGTTAATTGGTTGACGGCTGGCTTCGCCTTCTTGGGGTAGCACTTGGTTAAATTGATGGCTCGAACCACATCTTGCATCTCATTCATTGGATCCTGGAGGGGAAAAAAAGCACACAGTCATTGGAAAGCCTTTCGGTTGCAACCAAATCAACCTACGGCAGAGGAAAGGGTAAGCTTAAATAAGGTCTGGTCAAATTCTTGCAAACTGTTTAGTCTCCAGAGGAGCATTGTTATTGTTTACTGTGTCCAAATTTGATTGCATTTATCTTTTTTTCTCCCGAAGAAGTGTCAGCCACCCAATTGAAATAAACAAGCCAACGTTTATTTACCCCAAACCTTTAAGAAAAGCCTGATGTACTGCTTTGACGTCATGCAAGGTTTGGGGTGTTATAAAAGTCGAAAGCGCACAAGAAGGTGCGTTGCATTTATGACAATTAAGAAGGCGAAGTCTGGTGCCATTTGCAGATCTTGGACCCAAGAGAGGCCACCTTTAGGGGGTCAAGCTGTTCTAATTGGTTGAGGTTAATTAGGAGAGGAAAAGCGCCCCTCCGGTCCACCCACACCAAGTCTCACCAAGACTTCAGCGTCAGCTGAACCCCAGCGCAAGCAGAAAAGTAAAACCGATGGAGGCATGTTGGCAAATGGGGCTACGTTGTCACTTTCTTTTTGTAAATATGCAAGTATCGTTTAAACACGAGCGACCCTTGGAGTTGACACACTGTCAGCCAATACAAACAATGGTGAATCAGCATGCTTGAGTGAAAGGGTGTAAATCAAAAAAAGGGAGCGAGGCGAGGCAGAAGGTCAATTTTTAGGCAAACAAAAAGTGCCATAGCAAGTGGTAGGGAAGGGAAGAAAGAGGCACCAACACCAAGGCTTAGCTAATCACACCTGACCCACCCTGTTGTCACCTTTAGGTCATGCATAAACAGGACAAAGTGAACAATAAATCATGCATCCAAATGTCAGAGCATGAAGGAAAGCTTGAGGGTATGAGTGTTTGTAAATGCGAAACGTCAGCACCCCAATCCGCCCCGCTCCAACACAACCACCTTCTCTTTCACAATGCTAACATCCCAAACAATTGAAGGATTATGTGAATGACGAAAATCTTAATTACTACTTATACAAAGAAAGGTGACGGATTAAGCACGTTGT